TTTTTTTTTTTTGGCCGGGCGGTGGTGACGCACACCTTTAATCCCAGCACTTGGGAAGCAGAGGCAGGCGGATTTCTGAGTTCGAGGCCAGCCTGGTCTACAGAGTGAGTTCCAGGACAGCCCGGGCTATAAAGAGAAACCCTGTCTTGAAAAACCAAAAAAAAAAAAAAAATCTTTTTTTTTGTATGAGTGTTTTGTCTGAATGTATGTGTGCTTACCTGGTACCTGGAGTTATCAGAAGAGGGTGTCAGATCCTCTGGCACTGCAATTATAGTTGGTGTGCTAGGCCATATGGTGGCTGGCAACTGAACCTGGATCCTCACAAGAGCAGCAAGTAACCTTAACCACTGAGCCACCTCTCCAGCTCTAAACTTCTTCTTTTTTTTTTTTTTTTTTTTTGTTTTTGAGACAATGTCTCCCTGCTTAGTCTAGGCTGTTTCAGAGCTTACTATATAGCCCAAGCTATCTTCTTCTTCTTTTTTTTTTTTTTTTTTTTTGGTTTTTCGAGACAGGGTTTCTCTGTATAGCCCTGGCTGTCCTGGAACTCACTCTGTAGACCAGGCTGGCCTCGAACTCAGAAATCCACCTGCCTCTGCCTCCCAAGAGCTGGGATTAAAGGCATGCACCACTGCCTGGCTCCAAGCTATCTTCAAACTCATGCTTGTTCTGCTTTAGCTTCCAGAGGTTTCCAGCCACTGTGCCTGGATCTATGGTTACAATCTTCCAACAGAGCTGAACTACTAAGCTGGGTTTGTGATGTGGCAAGGTATCTTTTGTAGCGGGGAAAGAGTCTTGATTTGTTCATGTGATTTTGATGGCCCAGGTGTTAGCCATTACCACTTTGAAGCATTTCAATGGTGACACTTAATCATCAAAATGATGACATAGACAAATTGATATACCTCAGATTTTTTGGGTTCCCCACTGTACCAGAAGTCAGGCATATGAAAGCAATAAAGTTTGAGAAAGCATGCTTTTTTGGTTTTTCTTTCTTTTTTTTTTAAAAAAAAAAAAAAACTGGAGAGCTTTAGAAATGTGCAAACAGCATGCGAATTCCATCTTCTGATATTTTTTTTTTCTGCTCATTAACCCCAGGCAGTATTACTTACAATCCAAACTAATTGACTTTGACATACAGATTGAAGATAGGCTTAGCCACCTATACCAGAGCCCCTGTACTGGTTTCTAATTAGGTGTTTAAAATATAAGATCTTTAAACAAATTTCTGTCTGTTTTTGTTTTACTTATCTAACCATTGCAGAAATGGCTGGGGCTGACTGAAATATAATGAGAGACAGAAAGGGAATAGATCCAGAGGGAAGAGGAATGGAGGGGAAGAGAGGGGAGAGGAAGCAGGGAGGAGTTGAAGGAGAAGAAACTAGAATCAGGATATACTACATGAGAAAAGATTCTATTTTCGATAAAAGGAAAAGATGGAGTTTGGGGGAATTACCATAAAATGTTAGGCCAAATGAATTTATTATAACTTATTTAACCAAGGATCTATCAACATACAAAACCTAGAGATGTTCAAAGAACTGTCTGCACACGTAGGAAGACGCCATTCATAGCTGCAGTGGTTAGCAGTCCAGGATCTGCCTTAGTTGAGGCCTGCGGCATGAAGAAGGTGTGGTCAAGGGTAGGTAATCAGTTGCCTGAAGTTCTGCTGCTGTGAATGGTTTGGACTCAACTCACTGTGAGAATAAATGTAGTGTGGGTAAAAGTTTGTTTTTCCACTGATGGTACAGTTGTCTTTGTAAAATTTCAAACAACTTGTCAGGGACACGGACAGTTTTCTCTTTGTTACAGAGTCGGAGAAATGTGAGGAAAGCAAGCCGGGCTAGTAGGGAAATATGAAAAGAGGCTCGCCTGGAAATTTTGAATTGCTACACAGAAAAGCTACTGGTGGCTACAGTTATTTACTCTTTCGTTATTCTTTGTCTGTGCTCACAAGCTCCTATCCAGCTCTGATCCTTGGCTGACTTAGAACAAACACAATTCTTCTGCAGTCTTCCCATCCAGTTGTTGACTCCTGTCTTCTAAATTCCAAAGATTCTTTGGAAACCGGGTGATCTAGGAGGTGGAAACTTACTGGAGGAAGTGTACCATGGGGCGGGGGCTTTCAGAGTCTACAGCCTCCCCTTGCCTCTAGCTAACTCTCCTTTCATCCTTGTGGTCGGAGATGTGATCATTCACATTCCTGATCCATTGCTGGTATGTACTCACACACCACAACTGTAAGCCCAAATAAACTTTCTTTCCTTATAAAGAAAAAAAAAAATCAAAGCTCTTTTTCGGACTTGAGATGTAGTTCAGTGGTGGAGCAATAGCTTAGCATGCTCTAACTAGACATTTGTTCAATACCAAGCACTGAAAACATCCCTTTCTCAAAGCATTTTAATGGGACCTGCCAGGATGCTCTAGACTATAGTGCATCTGCTTGCCACAGACTATGAACTAAAAAGCGAAAGCTGCCTCTCTCTCATCTCTGTGCTCCACCCATATACCCAAGTAAGAGCTTGCAACACAGAAAAAGCTCAAGAAATGTTTCACTTTAAAGCAATGGTACTTAAAGACAGTTTTGCCTTATAGGGTATATTTGGCAAATGTTGCTTTTTGTTTTCAAGACAGCTTCTTGCTATATAACCCTAGCCAGCTTGGAACTTGCTGTGTATATCTTCTAGCCTAAAGCAATGATCATCCTGTCTCTGACTCCAGAGCGCTAGGATTGTATGTGTGCACTACCACATTCAGACAACCCGAGAGGTTTTTTGTTGTCACAAGTTGGGGGGGGGGGGTACATGCTATTGACAACCATGGATGCTACTAAATATCTTAGAGTGCCCAAGATAATCCCCATCAAAAAAAAGAATTATACAGCCTAAAATATCAGTCATATAGAGGTTGAGAATCCCGTTCTAAGTAATTGAACTAATAGCTTATGAAGGGATGCTGAACAGATGGCTTTGCAATTAAGAGTATTGGCTGCTCTTCCAGAGGACCCAGGTTCAATTCCCAGTACCCACATGGCAGCTCACAACTGTCTACAACTCCAGTTCCAGGGGATTCAACACCCTCACACAGATATACATGCAGGCAAAACACCAATGCACATAAAATAAAAATAAATAAATAAATAACTTTTTTTAAAAACTAAAAAAAATTCTCTTCCAGAACTTTATTTTTTGTCTCATTCTATGCTCTTGGTGAATAAGATATCCCAAACTCTACTCTTTTATCTCTGAGAAATGAAGTATGTAGAAAAGGCATATCATAAGAAGAACAGACAAGGTTGTTTAACTGTCTGGCTTGGAGTAAGATACTAGCATATATTCAATCCTGTGCCTGACAGAAGTATATTTCATACACACAAGGAATCAAATGCAGCCCTCCATAAAATCTGTCTTTTCTTTTAGTCTGGTAGCAGTTCTGTTCAACCCAAAAGTATCAAGCAGGTAAACAGGCAAGGAGCTTCCCACCTAGGAGTGTTATTTAGAGTTCTTCTTGGGAGGCAGGGGCTCACTCTTAAGATCAGCAAACTACAACCCACAGACCAAGATGACCCCATTTTTATACAACATATGAGCCAAAGCCAGTTTTAACATTTCAAATGGTTGATGATGGAATAAAAGGATGCGGGTATGGTTCCATTGAAGGAGTGCTCACTTGACACCCAGAAAGCCCAGAGTTTGATTCTCAGCAACACATAAATCAGGAGTAGGAAGAAAATAGCAGGAAGTTGAGAAGCTCAAGGTCATCCTTGCCTCGGCAAGTTCAAGGGCAGCCTGGGATACATAAGATACTGCTGACTGAGCTAGCTTCCCAGCCCCAGAAGTAAAGTGCTATTGGAAGAATCACACCCATTTGTTTGCTTCCCTTACAGCTGCTTTTGCACATAGACACAAACCTATGGCCTGCCTGCAAAGCCTGAAATATCCCCCCACCTCCGCCCCCACAGTCCCTTTGAGAAAATTTTTGCTGATTGTTGCTCAATAGTCAAGAGTTTAGCAAATTGTGTTTGCAGGAGACTATTTTGAAACACAGCAAGTTTAAATCCCCGGCACCTGGCTCTGCTTGGGGACATCTGCTTGGGGATGTACCTCCACTTTATGGCATTGCTGTTTTCTCCTCTGTAACCTGAGATGACTTGGCAGAATAGTCTCCCAGTCTTAACTGTCCACAGTGTACGGTGATTCCAAGCTGTCCAGTGACTCCCAGGTGGCCATGAAGTAAAGGTGCAGAGCTCTCATGGAAGCCAAAACCACTTAGCCAGTGAGTCACAAAGCCAAAACTGAAAAGCCAATGTACCTATTCAGGACAGATTGGAGAAATGGCATTCAACTGGTCTCAAAAATGTTCTTTTTTGTTGTTGTTATTTTCTCTCTCTAACTTTAGGGAATGGACAAAACTAGAGCAAAGTTGACAAAGGATGGAAGGCAGAGGCTGTCAACCCCTAATTTCAGAGGTTTTAATTTGTTTTGGTTTTTGGTTTGTTGTTTGTTTGTTTGTTGTGGTGGTTGTTGTGCTATGGAGTCTAGCACTTACCTCAGGTCCGTGGAAATCACTCAGATTCTTTTTTTTTTTTAAAAGATTTATTTATTTATTATATATGAGTACACTGTAGCTGTCTTCAGACACACCAGAAGAGGGCATCAGATCTCATTACAGATGGTTGTGAGCCACCATGTGGTTGCTGGGATTTGAACTCAGAACCTCTGGAAGTGCAGTCAGTGTTCTTAACCACTGAGCCATCTCTCCAGCCCCCAAGGAATACTTTTTGAGATATTTACTAGCCTTTTTTTTTTTTTTAGACCAGGCTGGCCTCGAACTCAGAAATCTGCCTGCCTCTGCCTCCCAAGTGCTGGGATTAAAGGCGTGCGCCACCACTGCCTGGCTGCCTCACTCAGATTCTTAACATCTTTCCACTTGCTCCCACAGCAAGGAAGAGTCTCTGTGCCCTTCTGTTTTCTCAATACTAACCCACAGTTCTTTATTCACAGTCCAAGGGATTATGGGTTGCCAGCACTGGCACACCAGCCTGGGGTCTGTCACTACGGAACTAAGATGGCCTGCTGCTACGGCTGGAAAAGGAATGGCAAGGGAGTATGTGAAGGTGAGTTTTGTAAAAGTTTAGACCACCCTGCTGTTGGATCACAGTGGCCAGTTGTCAATCTATGACACCATTGTCAATGGATTCTCTGGAGTGAGGACATGGGTAATTAGCAATACTCCACAAAGTTTTGGTCCTGGTGCAGTGTCCAGAATGGCTGACACTGTCACACTAGACGGGAGTTATTTTAGGAGACTTTCTTGTTCATTCTTATTTCTGACACTATTTGAACAAGTATAACTGGAGTTTGGTTTGGTTTTTTTTAATCTGTAGAAACTGAGATGGGCAAAACCAGGCCAATTAACTCCTTCTAATTATAGTTTTTCCAACTGATTCCTGACAAAATACACATTTTAACTATTAGTCATAGGCTAATAGCCAAGTAGTCTCTGTCTACAAAGTAGAAAAGGGATGTTTATACCTTATAGATGTGCCACTCCCATTTTTAAATTCCTTAAGAGTAGTTTCTAGCCGGGCGGTGGTGGCGCATGCCTTTAATCCCAGCACTTGGGAGGCAGAGGCAGGCGGATTTCTGAGTTCGAGGCCAGCCTGGTCTACAGAGTGAGTTCCAGGACAGCCAGGACTACACAGAGAAACCCTATCTCGAAAAACAAAACAAAAACAAAAACAAAGAAACAAGAGTAGTTTCTAATGGCAAGAAATACATGCATGTAATGCAAAGGTTTTTTTTTTTTCATTATTTTGTGCAGATTACAGACTAAGAAAACAGAGGTTTTCCTTGAACACTGTTTCTCAGATTCTGTGTTAGGAGCTTACCTCCGACATCTTGTAATTTCCCAGAGGATTTTGGGGAGCTGAGATGTATTGTATTAATCTATCTCTATGTGGTTTTCCAAAGTGACCCATATTAGAGATAGAGAGCCATGAAACCTGCATTTCTCCAAGGCAGCTGGCCATGTCCTGAATAGAGTTCATTGCCTCGGGGTAGAAATCTGCTTTCACTGGCCCCAGCAGGTATCAAATGCCTAATCCTGATTGTGAGTTCCTTGTTGGTTAAATGGGGTAATGACATGCTCAAATGTTCCAGAAATGCATTACAATGCTAACTATTTTAGAAGTAAGGATAGTATCTCCTCATAGGCCTATCCCTGACCCAACCCCTCCATTCTAGCCAGCCCCCCAAATAGCTAGATTAATAGTTGCTTGGGTGGTGGAAGTCATTATTTTTCAGTAAGGTAGCCACTGGTAATTTCCCCTGTTAGTATCCCCATAACTACCCACATCTAGGTAAACACCTTAGTGAAACTCACTGGGTCTGTCATCGTCACTATTCTATTCCTGTGAAGAGACACTATGACCATGGCAATTCTCATTAAAAAGAAAGTATTTAATTGGGGCTGGCTTACAGTTTCAAATGTTTAATTCATTATCACTATGGTAGAGAGCTTAGCAGCATGCTCCACAGACAGATACGGTGCTGGACAAGTAATTGAGAGTTCTGCATCCAGGTTCACAGGCAGTGGGAAGTGAGAGACACTGGTCCTAGCTTGGGCTTTTGAAATCTCACGGCCTAACCCCAGTGACATACTTCCTCCAATATGGCCACACCTCCCACTTCCCCTCAAGTAATGCTACTCCTTTATAACAAAGCATCCTAATTTAGGAGCCAAAGGGGACCATGCTTACTCAAATCACCACAGGGTCTAAAAAGGCAAAAGATATGAAAATAGGAGGAGGGATTATTGGGAAGAAAAGGGGTTTCAGAAGGCCTGGGAGGGAGATAGGAGGTATAGTGGGAGCAGAACATGATCAAAATACATTGTACACATGCATAAATCTGTCAAAGCCAGGCAGTGGTGGCACACACCTTTAATACCAGCACTTGGGAGGCAGAGGCAGGCGGATTTCTGAGTTCGAGGTCAGCCTGGTCTACAGAGTGAGTTCCAGGACAGCCAGGACTACACAGAGAAACCCTGTCTCGAAAAACCAAAAATAAATAAATAAATAAATAAATAAATAAATAAATAAATAAATCTGTCAAAAAATACAAGATTATAAAAGATCTAGATTGACCGTAAGGGAAGACAAAATTTGATGTCTGGAGTCCATGAAACAACAGAAGACATGGATAGTGTTTCCACACATTCCCTGTTATTCAGAGCTTTCAGCCATCAGAGTTTCTCCGAAATGGTATGACAAGGATGTGAGATGCTTAAAAAAAAAAATGAAGATCATCATTATTCATCCAGTCACAGGAAGATAGAGCATCACTCTGAGACCTGTGTCAATTAAAGGAGCAGCACCTAGATGTACCTCAGTAGCTAGAACACTTGCTAAGCATGCAGTTGTCCTCCTAATTGGATGTTTTATGATCGAAGACATCGGACTTTAGACTGATGTGGGTGACCTTGGAGAATGTAGTGAAGTTCACTAAGCTCTGTTTCCTTTTCTGAGACATGGAAAAGACACTAACCCTCAAAAGGTCCAGAGTAGAGGCACTAAAGTGTATTCTTACTGCCTGTCACACAGAAAAAAAAAATGCTTCATAAATTACCATTGATTCAGAAAGGACCAATGACTCTTGTCACATTTCTGTCCTTCAAAGCACCAGGTGACAGGAGCAATAAACGTAGCTTTGTTCTTTACCTAGACACAGCATAAAACATTCCTCTTTGTAGGCAGTCAGGTAGAAAGGGGTAAAAGTCACCTGAGACATGTGACTTATAATTTCTTACAGTCTCATGAACCTCAACACTTACTGCCATAAAACTTGGTCAGACCTGGCATGCCACTGGGGAGTAAGTGACAGTGAGCTTTGGCTTTCTGCAAGGGCTGTTCTTCAACTAGGTCAGAGTAGTTTGGCCACAGTCTGTACAGCCAGTCACAGTCTCAGTGATTTCTCAGAATATATATCACAGGCTTGAAGGAATGTAAAGCCAAAGGTTAAAAGACCCAGTGGGAGAGTGTAAGAAAAATGTTCAATATGCACATGCTGTGAGCTAAAGATGTTTAGCAACTCTGTTGCTTTTGTTGAATATATGAGTCTTAATCTGCAATATCTGCAATATAACTTTTTATTTGCAATAAATAAAATAATGATTTTTATTTATTTACAATAAATAAAAATATTTGCAAAATAACTTTTAGATCTAAAAATACATATCATATTTTTTTGAATCTGGTTTTTTTTTCCAGAGTTTCATGTAGCCCAGACTGGCCTTAAACTCTCTATATAACTGAAAATAATCTTGAACTCCTGATCATTCTGCTTCAATGCTAGAATTTCAGCCACTTGCCACCATGCCCAGTTTCTGTAGTCCTAGGGACCAAAACCCAAGGCTTTCTGCATCTTAGGCAAGCACTATCCTTACAAAGCTACATCCCTAGCCTCTGCACGTTCCTTCTTGTCAGTAAGGTCAAAGGTTCTTAGAAGCACAAAATAACAAAGATAGCCACTCCCCTCCTGCTGGGTTTCTTAGTCCTAAACCAGAGTTCAGCCTGTGCAGTAAGAAAAACACACCTCCACCTGCCCCAACAAGCAATACCAAACCCTGGCTGGGAGGTCCCAGTCCACACATGCCTTCTCTTTAATCTACTCTTCAGTCTTTGTTTCTCTCAGTGACCTGAACCCATGCACACTGGACCCCTGCCCCCAGCCTTTCCCTCTACCCCTGTCTAAATCTTTCCTCAGCAGTGAAGTCTGATCAAGTATGTATCATTAACCTCAAAATACATGTCACTCTAATGACAAGGAATGAAGTGCTGTCCATGGACAAATCCCTAATGAAAAACAGCAGACAGTGGAGAGAACTTGGGGCGGGGGGCGGACGGGGACGAGGAGGAATGTGTGAGCTTAACTTGGTGCAAAGTGTGCCTCAGCCTCTGGCTCTCTTAGACACAAACTGAATTTCCCTTTGCTGGATTGGCTGCTTTGGTCACAGATCCAAAGTCACTGTAAATTGAAAACATCTTTCTGAAGCTTCGACCTTAGAGCAAGGATATTAGTCACTATTTCTCCCGTGTTCTATCTGGCATTCTTCCTGGGCTTTCCTGTCTGGATCACACTGGAAATTAGCTTCCAGGGAGCAATCACAGGTCTTTGGGATTTAAAAAAAATCAAACATTTATTTTTCCAACATCTGAACTTAAAGCTGCATCGCCAAGCCCATGTTCATAACAAAGGAGACACTGAAAATTAAATTCCATCTCTTTAGTCTTTGAAAGTGGAAAGTTTTCTTTGCTGGAAAAGCTTTTTCCCCTCCTCTCCTTACTGTCTTAGTTAGGACTTGTTCAGAACCAAAATGTTTCCCTGTGACAATTTCTATGCCTATTGCTTTACTCACTATTGAAAAAAACAAATGTTCCAGACATGGTGACACCTACCTCTAATGCCAGCATTAGAGAAACAGAAGTAAGAAGACCATGAGCAGAAGATTAGCCTGGGCTACACAGAGAGGGCCTGTCTCAAAACAAAACCAAGGGCTAGGAATGTAGCTCAGTGCTGGACCATTGACTAACACACACAAGGTCCTGGGTTCCATTCCTAGCACTGCAGTATATTTGCACACATAGCATGTATTTTTGTGTGCCATACACTTGCATCTGATGCATCTATTTTCTCATCGGTGGCATATCCACAAACTTATATACAACGATGCAGGAGAAAATGTGAATTTTGAGTGATTGTCTGACGACACCAAAAACATCGTAGTAGACAGCAGCTGTCTCACTCGTTTTGTTCATCTCCTTCCCGTGAGACTGCATTAAACCTGCCATGATCTTCCATCATTTTTTCCCTCACCCCCAATTCAAGTGCAACATTCTAGTTCCCTTGCTTTAGTCTACCCTTTTGTTCACTGAAGATTTATTGAATGGCTACTTCACGCCATGCTTCAGGATACGAAAGCCAATAACAGAACAAACCCCGTCTACGGTATGCTTCTGTGATCACCATCAGCAGCATGCTTCGAGTGCCCAGCAGAGTGAGCACTTCAAATTTAATAGTAGCAACCCACACTAAAAAGATCTTGATGATTCCAAAGAAAAATAATTAGTGCTTAGGGTGATTGCTCAGTTAGTAAAGTGCTGGCCACAAAGGCATTAGGAGCTCAATTTGATCCACAGAACCCATGTGAATAAATAAGCAAGCTAGCCAGGCAGCCAGCCAGCCAGCCAGGTGTGCTTGAGCATGTTTCTAATCCTGGCCCTGGAGAGGCAGACTCAGATGGATCCCCGAGACTCACTGACCAGTCAGCCTAACTTAATCTGTTATCTTTACAAGCCAATGAGAGACTGTCTCAGAAAACAAGACTACAGCCAGGCGGTGGTGGCGCATGCTTTTAATCCCAGCACTTGGGAGACAGAGGCAGGCTGATTTCTGAGTTCGAGGCCAGCCTGGTCTACAGACTGAAAAGAAGATTGGGGGAAGAGGGACAGCAAGATGACTCATCGGGTAAAGGTCCTTACAGCCAAGTCTGATGACCTGAGTTTGTTCCCCAGGACCCACAGAGTAGAAGAAGGGAGCCAACTGCTGCTAGTTGTCTTCAGACCTCCACATGTATGTCATGGCACATGCATTCCCTGCCCCTGAATACAAATAAGTACATTTTTTTCTTAACAAATAGATGTCACCTGAAGAATGACACAAAAGGTTGCCCCCTGGCTTTCACATTAAAGTACATACATGTACATTCACTCCCATGCACATATGCATACCAAAAAGAAAGAAAAATAGAGAAATACTTAGGAGATAAGAAGAGACAGAAAGAAATGGAGGGACCTTGGAACTTGACCATGTTACTCTGATATGTCTTCCTCTTGAATGTTCTTTAGTAATGTTTTAGGTTGCCATGCGGAAGTAGTAGGCTGTGTGGTCCGAGTGCTTTATGACACTGGAGACATGGCCACACTAAGCAAATGAGTCCAATGCACTGTCATTCATTGCTTTGTGGGTGTGAGGGCTGGTTTTGTTCACAAGGCAATCCCCGCCCAGTGTTGGAAAAGATGAACCCAGAGTAAGGAGGATATCAATTCTCAGTCCATTTCCAGAAAGTTCTCTGCCATATAGAAAGGCAATCGGCCTATGTACTTTATGAGCGTGTCAACTATATCATTAGGATCTCTTTCCCTTTTACAGCTGTGTGTGAGCCCAGATGCAAGTTCGGTGAGTGTGTGGGACCGAATAAATGTAGATGTTTTCCAGGATACACCGGGAAGACCTGCAGTCAAGGTCAGTATAACACCAAGACCCTGGAATGAACTCCATTTCAATGGGGTCAGGGAGGAAAGACAGCGGTGAAGATTTCTTAGAAGTTGATAGTCAAATCTTGAACATGGTTTCAGGATGAGAGTTTTTAGCTAATCTGTATTTGATAAATGTGAAACCTCTGATATTTTTTTCAATAAGGGTACTCGCTTAAAATAACTATTGTTTTTGAGATTATCTAAATAATATACATTCTTTATTTTTAAAAAAAGCAATGAATGAGTATATAAAAGTAAAAAAGAATGGGCTAGTGATGTAACTCACTTTGTAGAGTGTTTGTCTAGCATGCACAAAGTTGTGGGTTTAATCCCCAGCATTTCATAAACCAGGCATGATAGCACACCTGTAACCCTAGTACTTGAAAGATGAAGACAGGAGGATCAAAAAAGTGCAAGGCCATCCTTGGCTACATGCCAATCTGTAAAACAGCCTGGGGTACATGAAACCTAGTCTTAAATGGGGGAAGGGCCTCAAGGAGAGACTCTGCCCTTAACCCTTATTAGAACCACAGTTAACAATTTGCTGTAGATTAGTGAGTGGGTCTCAACCTGTGAGCAGAAACCCCTTTAGGGTATTGAATGACCTTTCACAGGGGTTTCACATTGAATACCTGTATATCACATATTTACATAATGATTCATAACAGTATCAAAATTACAGTTATTAAATAGAAACAAAACTTGATAGTTGGAGGTCACCATAACATGAGGAACTAGAGTAAGGGTTACAGCATTAGGAAGGTTGAGAACCACTGCTCTAGACATTCAGAACCCTTTTAATCACCCTACAAGCATCAGTATTTCTCATGGGTATCCTTACTTGTAAGCATGCACAGAGCTCAGACTTTTTAAGGCCATATCCCAGTCCTTAGTATGAAGATATTTATCTTTTATGAAACGGATGCTTTCTTACCATTACCATTGTCTCCAATCCCTCACCAGTGCAAACAGTGCTAAATCAAACATCCTTCTCACATCCACTCAACAGCCATTTCTTCTGGAGTGACTTGGCTGAGATAAATATCTAAAAATGAAATCATTGGATAATGTGTGGTCTTTTTACCCAACATATACATTTCTGAGATGTTTTGACTTTGTTTTTGACATAGGGTCTTACTATGTAGCTCTGGCTGTCCTAGATGTAACTCTATAAAACAGGATGGCCTTGAACTCAAAGATATCTGCCTGCTTCTGCCTCCTGGGTGCCAGGATTCAATGTGTGTAATACCACACTGGTCTATTTTGTTTTGAGACAATCTCATATGTCCTGGGTTTGCTATGTAGCCCAAGATAGACCTTGAAATTCTGATCCTCCTGCCACCATCTTCTGAGTGTTTAGATTATATGTATGGGCTACCACACTCAATGTATATGGTGTTGGGAGTGGAATACAGGACTCTGAACATGCCAGCAAACACTTTACCAACTGAGCTATATCTCCAGCTCAACAACAGATATACTTCTAAGGACAATTTATGGTATTTGTATTAGGCTAGTTATCTGATCACAACTAAGGATTTATTTAATATATAGAACATTGGCCATGATGGTGGCACAAGACTATAATCCCAGCATATGAGAGGTAGGGGCTGGAAGATCAGGATTTGAGGCCTGCCTCCATTATGTGTTAAAGAACAGCCTAGGCTATCTAAGACTCTGTCTAGAACTAAAACTTTGTTCTCCAGAGAGAGAGAGAGAGAGAGAGAGAGAGAGAGAGAGAGAGAGAGAGAGAGTTGTTAGCTAATATTTAATGCCCATTTGCACTTACCTTTCAGATAAGTGATAAATGTATAGTGTATTTATATAGCAATACTGTATGGGATGTGTACATGCTAAAACATACTAGTTACATTCCTAAAATTCAAACTTAACTAGCAATCTTTTTTTATTAATTAATTTATTTATTTTATTTATGAGTATGCTGTAGATGTCTTCAGACACATCAGAAGAGGGCATCCAATCTCATTACTGATGGTTGTGAGCCACCATGTGGTTGCTGGGATTTGAACTCAGGACATCTGGAAGAGCAGTCAGTGTTCTTAACCACTGAGCCATCTCTCCAGCCCACTAGCAATCTTTTAACTTTAGTTGCCAAACTTGGGAACTATCCCCTGTGTCATCTGGCTCTACTGAAAGACATTTGGAGGATGTGATGCTGGCATCTACTGGCTAAATATATGCCTTAGGGTTTCTATTGCAGTGAAGAAACACCTTGACCACAGAAACTCTTATAAAGGAAAATGGCGCTGGCTTACAATTCATTGATTTAGTCCATTATCATCAAGGCGGGAAACAAGCCAGTATGCAGATAGACATGGCGCCAGTGAGGTAGCTGAGAGTTCTACATCCAGATCAGTGAGCAGCAGGGAGGGGGGGAGGGAGGGAGAGGAGAGTCACTGGGCCTGGCTTGAGCATTTGAAACCCCAAAGCCCACCCCCAATGACATACTTCCTCCAACAAGGTCACAACTAATCTCTGTCAAGTAATGCTATTCCCTAATTGATCAAGCATTCAAACATATGAACCTATGGGGACCACTGCTATTTAAGCCACTACAACACCTTCCAGTGCCCAGAAGTGCCCTGTACCAACAAAAATAGCTCAATCCAAATGGCAATAGACATTGATGCTGAAAGACTGTGGAAATTATAGTAAGCAAAAAATATCTCGAATGCTCAAGCTGGAGATCAGTTGATAGAGTATTTGCCTAGTGTGTACAATACCCTGGGTTTGATCCCTAGTCAAACATGACAGCAATAGGAGCAGGAGGATTTAAGATTCATCCTTGACTACATAGCAGGTTCCTGATATACAAGAAATGCTGTCTCAAAACTAACAAACAAACACAGAAAAAAACTAAAACACTTTGGGAGGAAAAGGGGCCACCTTGCTCTTGGCTGTAGAGTAGATGTTTCAACTAGGTATTTTGTCATTCAGGGGACGTCTGGCAATATCTAGATAGTTAGAGTTGCCACAGCTAGACGAGGGGTTGCTACTGGTAACTATTGAGTGAATCCCATCCCTTTTCCTAAACACTCCATAATCCAGACAGCCCCTACATAGAGGAATGATGTGGACTCAAATGTCAAGAGAGGTTGAACAACCCTTGCATGAAGAAAGCCACACTAATTAAGTGCCCCTAGCCCTACAATGAGGTTGCTCACCATCAGCCAATCACCTTTAACTTCTCTCCTGAGAAATTTCCCAGGAGACAGAGTGGTGGTTCAGCAGTTAAAAGGTTCGATCCTAGCACTCATACACAAAACTAGCTGGGCATGGTGATAAAGGACTGTGATGTGGGACTCACTGGCCACCAAGCCTAGCCTGAGCCCTCACTTCCTGTCTCCAAAAACCTAGGAAAGACACCTGGCCTCCTTATTCACACACATGCACACAAGCCCACACAAACACGCACATCAAGCAAACACTGAGAACCACAAATTCATCAGTGAGATCTCTTGTTAGAACTTTCAGGCCAGATGCTTCTTTTTCCTCAGCTCCTTTCTCGAGTCCTTCTGACTAAGAGGGCTAGTTCTCAAATTCCAGTAAAATATTAACATTAAGAGAGTGGTCAGTTGGCTCCAGTTTAGAGGTTGTCTCGCTTCCCCCTTCAGCCTGCCTGCCCCATGGCAGCCTGATCAAAGACGACTCATGGCAATGAGTCTGAGCTAATGTGTTTCCCAAAACTCCTCTTAAGACATGAGTGAGTCACCTCTGGCTTAAAGCCAAGTGATGGTGTACCCTGGATTTTCTATTATGTCCAGTCACCGTATTTCAGTTCCCCCCTTAAAAGAGCATGGGGATTGAGGCCAGTGAGACGGTGTATACAAGGCACACATGCGTACACACACTCACTCCTGCAAAATATAGTAAATTAGTACATGTTTAAAAGAAAATAAGGTGGTTGAAGTGTGTGAGGGAAATGATAAGGTTGAGGGAACAGGCAACAGAGAAGGAAGCTTCAGGTGTTTCAATCTGCATATACACAGAACCTTCCAAAGGCAGGAACAGCTACTGTTTTACCTTTCAAGGGCACAATCTGCGACTGCCCTTCAGAATATTTTCTGTGGAATTTGGTGCCTTTCTCCTTTCTATATCTTTCCTAGGGGACTTAAACCATGAGTCCTCCTCCACAATCATATTTCCAAAGACAAATCAGATCCTTTTATCGCAACATTTTTTAACAATTTTTTCTCCTTTATCTTTTTCTCCGTTTTGAGACAGGGTTTCATGCATCTCAGGCTAAGGATGACCTTGAATTCCTTATTCACTCCTGTATCCATCTCCTGATTCCCTCCTGCATCTACCTCCTGAGTGCTAAGATTACAGCCTTGTACCACCAAGCCTGCTTTTTGTGGCACTAGGTATTGAACTCAGGGCTTTGTGCATGATAGTCACCTATGCATGTTCAACTGATCCATACCCTGGAGCCCGCCTACCTTATCATTTTCTCGTTTTAAAAGAAACACTATTTATTCTTTTTTTTTTTTTTTTTGGTTTGGTCTTTTGAGACAGGGTTTCTCTGTGTAGCCCTGGGTATCCTGGAACTCACTCTGTAGACCAGGCTAGCCTCGAACTCAGAAATTCGCCTGCCTCTGTCTCCCAAGTGCTGGGATTAAAGGTGTGCGCCACCACCACCCGGCAACATTATTTGTTCTTAATGTTTATTTTTTTTTTTTACCAAAATATACTACAAAGCCCAGAAAGAAAGAAGAAAAGACACCCTTGAACATGCCAATTAACCACAACCATGGCTAGCATTGAGAACTTTTCACCCTAGGTTTTTGTTCCTTACACATTTCTGTTTTGTTGCTTATTCATTTAGGATTGATCAATACACATAGCCTTGTAATCACCTGTGAACACCTGCATGTGGAATTAAATATCCTGCAACCAACTGCCTGTTGAGGTTATTTCTAGAATGGTATAGCTAAAGCTTTGGCCTGGGGCCACCCCAAATCACAACAGTGCTGCCGTCGTAAGCTGTTTGGGAAGTAGTAAAGGTAGAAATACTCAAATTGTATGTTTCTGACTCTTCAATAAAGTATTAGCATATAAAATTGTATGTATATTAAAAATGTATAACTTAAGCCAGTGAGATAGCTCAGCAGGCAAAAGTACTTGCTGAGTTTGAACCCTGGGATGCACATTGAAAGAACACTTGAAAGTTGTCTTCTGACCTCCACACATACCATGACACCTATATTCTTACACATATCACATGTGCACACACACACTAATAGGAATAATGAAATATTTTAATAAAATTAAACAGCCTGATAAATTGCCATAACACTTTTCTAATTGGAGACCAGAGCAAAAAAGCAGAATCTCAACAGTCCCCACCTTCCACCTATTTAAGCATTTCTTCCCTCAACAAGAAAAACGTAGCCATGGATGGTGAGTAGTATATGCCTGTGATCCTTAGCACTAGAGAGGACGAAGCATAAGGGCTGCCTCAAGTTCAAAGCCAGACTGGGATACAGCTGTGAGGATGGATGGATAGATAGATAGATAGATAGATGGATGGATGGATGGATGGATGGATGGATAGATAGATAAAAAGGAGAGAAACAGAGAAACGTGTATCTTGACTTCACTTTATCTATCGCAGTATGTATGCAATGGATATATCCATCTTATTCTACTCAGTATCTGTTTGTGAGAATCATCCTTTGTTGCCTAATAGTTGTAGTTTCTTCTATTTAACTGCTATACAACATACTCATCACATACCCATCCTGCCGGGGTGTGTTTGAATCATTCCACTAATATATGTACTATTATGATCCCTTTAGTAGATGGGGTTTGTGTGTGTGTGTGTGTGTGTGTGTGTGTGTGTGTGTGTGTATGTGTGTGTGCATGCACATGCATGCAAAGTACCTGTAGTAACATCCATTCCCTCCATTGCTCCTATTCCCACATCCTCACTAATCTCTCCAAGTGGAAAGATTGAAGGAAAGGAAGTGGGTCAGCAAAGGTGACTCTGTGTCCTTCCCCAAACTGACATCTAGTCTCTCCTGCATGGGTATTTTCTGACTCAGTTAACATTTCTCTCTTTTCTGCCTGGCCCTGCAGATGTGAATGAGTGTGGAGTCAAACCCCGGCCATGCCAGCACAGATGTGTGAATACACACGGTAGCTACAAATGCTTTTGCCTCAGCGGCCATATGCTTCTACCAGATTCGACATGTTCAAGTAAGTTTCAGCAGCCACTCAATGCTGAAGGCTTGCCTTTTGATATTTGATGCATGGGGAAAGACTTGAGTAACTTTAAAAAACATATCAAGCTGGGCGATAGTAGTGGTATGCCTTTCATCCCAGTACTCAGGAAGCAGAGGCAGGAGGATCTCTGTGAATTCAAGGCCAGCCTGGTCTACAGAGCTAGTTCCAGGACAACCAGGAATACACAAAGAAATCCTGTCTCTAAAAAAGTAAATAATAAATAAACACAAAAACAAACAATATAAAGAGTAAAAATAATATTTAAAAACTATGTCTTGTGTTATCCTGGTGTGGTGATACATGCCTTTAATCCTAACATTCAGGAAGTAGAAACAAGTGGATTTCTGTGAGTTTGAGGCCAGTCTCATCTACATAGTGAGTTCTAGGCCAGACAAGACTACATAGTAAAACTTTTTCTCAAAAAAAAAGGAAACAAAAAACAAAACAAAACAAAAAAACCTCACCCACCCCCAACCCTTGGTCATGGTGATCCTTCTCTCTCTTTTCCCCTCAGGCCCTTGCCTGCTCATTCCAAAAGTTCCGCCTCTGTCTTCCTACACAGCCATTGGCTGAACAGCAATTCTTTATTACCAAAGCCAGCTGGGGGCAGGGACCCTCAGCTTGGCTCTTGGGAGCCAAATTAAGACAAAGAATTAGAACCAATTCCCAACATCTAGGGTTGAGGATATGGCTCAGTTGGTAGCATGAAAAAAAGTCTCTGGGTTTGAGCCCCAGAACCACATAAACATGGCATAATAATACATGCCTGTCATGCCAGCATTCAGGAGGTGGAGGCAGGAGGATAAGTTATTTCAAAGTCAAACTGAGTTATAAATCAAATCAACATGGGGATACATGAGACTCTGCCTCAAAAAAAGTCTTTAATATCACCATAAGTTAAAACATCTTTGGGCACTTTTTTAAAAGTATGGTTAAGATGTACATAACATAAAATTTACCATTTTAGCCATTTGAAAGTGAGCAAGCCAGTTACCTGCTACCTTTGTAACGTTCAGCAACCACCACCATCATCAAGCCTGATGACCTGAGATTGATGCCTGGACCCCACAAAATTCCTGGCTCTCCCTTGTAATTTCCAGCACTCTTCCTCCAAGGTGGGAGGTAGAGACAAGTGAATGAGCAGGGAGTCCATGGCTTACACAGTGTAGCAGCTGGTAACAAGAGAGACCATGGCTCAACACAGCAGAAGGCAAGAATCAACTTCCGAAAGTTGTTCTCTGACCTCTACGTGTGCTGTGGCACCCATGTAACCGTACACTCATGTGCTCATAGGCTCTCTCTCTCTCTCTCTCACCACACACACACACACACACACACACACACACACACACACACACACACACAATTTAAAACATACTAAAAGCAAAAAAAAAAATCTTAACTAATAACAGCAACTCCCTGTTGCCCTCAATAGCTACAAATCTACTTTCTGTCTCTCTGGATTCATTTCTTCTAGACATTCACTTTATAACTGGGGAGGGGGTGAACTCGCTGGGAAGAATCAATTACATATCTCTACTTATATATGTGAGATGAGTTGGATTTTAGCATGAAACTAGGCATGGCGATTAAAGGGAGGTGATAAATTTCTACACCATCCTGGAGACATCAATCCTTCCCACCAGCTACCTTTCTCACGCCCCTTGCTCCACTCCCAGAGATTAGTGTCTCGTTTGGAAATGCATTCTGACTCACATTCCTGAAAAGAAAAGCCCTTCTGTGATAATGAACCCCATGTCCTGGGGGGAGGATGGGAATCTCTATCCATTCATTTCTTGAGAGAAAAGGCTTTTTAAGTTTTATATTTCGGCTTAAAGGTAAGCCCACCTTCCCTGCCTGCCTTCCCCTTCCCCTCCTCTCTTGCCGTCTCATCTTCATCTGCCCCTCAGCTCCCAGAAGGCACAAGCCTGCTGCCTTCAGCCAGCTTCCCAGGGTTGCAATCATGCAGACTCCCAGCCCATCCCAGTCTTTGGAAGGTAATGTATAGTGCCCCCTAGTTCCTTTTTGACTTAGCCCTAAATCATCATTTACTCAGATCTTCTCTTAGCAGAAAAAACCTAAGACACACACATTTGCAGTGTCTTTTTTCAAATATCCTATTCATATAAATTAAGGAGAAACCCACATGAAACAATCTGATAAGCCGGGCGGTGGTGGCACATGCCTTTAATCCCAGCACTTGGGAGCCAGAGGCCAGCCTGGTCTACAGAGTGAGTTCCAGGACAACCAGGGCTATACAGAAAAACGCTGTCTCGAAAAAAACAAAAAAAGAAAAAGAAAGAAAGAAACAATCTGATAGCTTATTGAATTCTTGTACAGCACCCTTGTGATTAGCACCAACTAGAACTTGGCTAGAACCTCCGTGTCTTGTGCCTCCCCAACGAGGATCATTATCTAGACTTTTTACAGTGATCACTTCAAACTTTTTAAAAACATGGATGGTAATGGATGATTCTGAAAACATTACAGGGAAGCTCATTCCATGCCAAAAGAGATATTGTTCCCCAAGTGGAAAGATAGCTAATTTTGATGACTAAGTTTCAAAGAAGAAAGCCAAAGAGAAAAGAAGTGAATAATATAACCATCAGTAGGTGTTTGTTTCCTTGCCTTAGGCCTCCATCCTTACACCCTCTTTCTTTACCTCTAGGGATTATCTGTGCCTCCACATATAAAGCTTTCCTAGGTGCTGATCTTTTGTCCTCCTGGCCCATTTCATTGTCTTTGCTCCCTCTAGGTGACTAGCATTTTATTAAGGTGTGTGAATGTTGTTATTTACCAAAATCATCTTTTGGTTTTGATCACTGATATTGGAATATAAGAGTTCTTAAGAGGGCCAAGAGGTGGCTCAGTAGGAAAAAAAAAGTACCTGCCCTACCAGAATGAGGACCTGAGTTCAAATCCCCAGAACCCTTGTAAAAATAAAAAACATAGCACAAGGGTCTGTAATCCCAACAACACTGTAGGAAGGTGTGGGGCAGAAATAGAAGAATCTCTAGGTTTCCAGGCCAGCTAGGCTGAAGTACACAGAGGAAATACAACCGAGACCTGTAGTGTGGCAATAGGGATCAAACCCAGTGCCTCATGCACGCAGGAAAGCATTCTAACGCCTGGGCTCCATCTGCTGTCCCTCTGGTAGACTTATCTTTATTTTTTTTTTCCCTCTGGCCACATGTAAGCCAGACAAGTATCCGGATTGTCAGATACATTTTCACAATGGTGAAAATGGAGGCCAGAAGCGCTCTTGTGGAACTGAGTGCCTAACTGTATTTACCACATCACTACCTGGAACTGAAACACCATGTTTGTTATCTTAAGTGACTCTCAATGAGTCTCCACATTTGTGCAAAGATCTCTAGAGTTCTTTTACTCTAACTGCTCACATTGATAATCTACATCAGCAGTTACTTTCCATCCTCTAGAGACTGGCCAAGTGACATATTAATCCAAGTGCATATAAAAGGTGAGAAAAGGGCTAAGGAAGGAAGTCACTTGGTATCATGCTCACCTAGCTTATACAGACCCTGGGTTTGAGCCTTGGTGTTGCGTAAACCAGGCGTGGTAGCACATGACTGTTATCTCAGAATTTTGGAAATGGAGAATCAGAAGTTTCAAGGCTATATAGTAATTCAAGGCCAAGCTGAGATACATGAGACAATGTCTCAATTGAAAAGATGAGGGGGGGGGGGTATGGGGTTCAATCAGAGCTATATGTTTTGCCTAGACATTGTCAAATGCAGTGTGTTGGTCAACAAAACAGACCATGAGTGACTGGCATGATTCCTAGAGGCCACCAGGACAGTGGTCCTGCCAGATTCCTTGTGGGTTTCCATTTGGGACTCAGACCATGAAACCTGTCCCAAGACGCATTACATTTCACATCACAGAATTGGGAGAGACTTTCTTAGTTAATCTTTGACTACTTTTGCAGACTCCAGGACGTGTGCCAGAATGAACTGCCAGTACAGCTGTGAAGACACCGAGGAAGGGCCACGGTGTGTGTGTCCATCCTCTGGCCTCCGCCTGGGCCCAAATGGAAGAGTGTGCCTAGGTAAAACAGAAAGCATTCCTCTCCATCCCCCTCCCATTGCCCCTCCCCCCTCCATCCTTTCTCCACTGAAGTCCACTTTGATTCATCACTAGGATTGTGTTGACTAGATACAGTGAATTCAAAGTACTGATCTCTGTCTATGAAATATTCTCAGTCATTTGTGCTCTCTAAACACTTTGGAATATAAAGGAAAATATACCAGTCTTCTAGTAGTCTATACTACTGAGTGCCAGAACAAATAGGCCATAAAGGGTCTTTTTATTTACTGTATTGCCATTGCATATCTCACTTCAATTATCATGTGACTGACAGTACACTATCCATTCAATCATATGAACCATTGGGATTTATTTGTTTCAAGTCCTGGCTATCATTTTCCTGGAAAACACGTGTTTATTTTTTTTTTTTGGTCTCAGTATTAATTTAGTGAAAATAGTATATGTTTCCCATGACATTTAGGCAGTGCTTTAAATAAATGCTTTTTCACATCCTCTTTAAAACCTGCTTTAGGGGATGGGGCTCAAGCATAGTCAGAGAGTGCTTACTCAGCATTTGCAAACCATTGGGCTCAATCCCCACCACTGTATAAACCAGGTGTGGTAGAACGGACCTGTAACCATGGTACTCAGCAGATGAGGTCACCAGGGAGATCAAAGGTCATCAAGGAGATCAGAGGTCATCCTCAGCAAGTTCAAAGCTAATCTGGATTATTTTAGACTGTCTCAAAAAAAAATGTCTTTATCCAAACTATTCCGCACACAGTAGGGTCAAACAGACTTCTGTAAGTTCAAGGCCAGCCTAGTCTACATAGTGAGTTCCAAGTCAGCCAGAAATATACAGTGACACCCTGTCTCAAAAAAGTAAAATTATAATTTCATTGCTATTTCTGGCTAGACAAAATGGGCAGATTAAATCAGACTCAATTAAACACATAAACCATTCATTTATAGCTGTAAATTTAGTAAAAAGCCGCGGCCTAAAGTTTTAACTTCCTTGCTTTCTCTTGTTTTCTTGCACATCTTAATTTGTGAGTCCACAGAAACAGAGCACATAGCTGCTTCAGTAAATGATCCCAGGAAACACTGGTTGAGATTTAGGAAGTATCTCAGGGAAAGACAGGTACCAGCACTGAGTGAATTCAGTGAGCAGGTTCAATGAGCTCTGGGTACCACTGGGAGATCAACTGTATTTGTTACTTTTCTCATTGATTTGACCCAAATACTTGACAAGAAGGAACTTAAGGGAGGAAAGGTTTATTTGGACTCATAATTTGAGAGGATGTGGAGAATACCATAGTGGAGGATGCATTGCAGCAGGAGTGGAAGGCGAGGCAGATGGTCAAATTACAATCCACATTCAGAAAGCAGAGAACCACCTAGAAGTAAGAGTTCGAGTCCTGCCCCCAGTCATTCCCTTCTTCCGGTAAGGCTCCTCCTAAAAGATCCAGTCTTCCCAAATATCACCAGAGACCAAGTGTTCAAATGCATGAGCCTATAGAGAACACTTCACATTCAAACCGCAACTCTGAGGAAAGCAGCCTCCTGGTTTTCTCAGGCCAAGAATTTTGGGTCACCTCTCCACCAACCCCTGCTGTTCCCTCATGGGATTCTGCTCCAGGGTGAGACTGCCTGGTCCTCACAGTAAGAGCCAGGAACAAGTCTAGCAGGCAGCCTATGGCAGCAATGGTACCTTTGAGGGCTGAGTGGCTGAAACACCATTTTATTCATTTTTGCATTTCTGTTACTTTTGTGAGTTTGAATTAATTTCATTCAATCATCTAACTGTATGTATTTCTAACAATCATACTGCACCAAATACAACATTTAGATTGGGTGAATACATAGTCTCAATAAGGGAGAACCAATGAGACCAGAATCTTGAAAAAAAAGTTCATCTTCTTTAATTTGAAATATAAGCATTGCCAGATGGTGGTGGCACACACCTTTAATACCAGCACTTGGGAGGCAGAGGCAGGCGGATTTCTGAGTTTGAGAGTTCGAGGCTAGCCTGGTCTACAGAGTGAGTTCCAGGACAGCCAGGGCTACATAGAGAAACCCTGTCTCGAAAAACCAAACCAAAAAAAAAAAAAAATGAAATATAAGCATGGTGTAGCAACCTCTTCAGTGTAATATAAATATTTTTCAGTCAGGATACTCGGTGTTCATTTATCCTAAACGGATGTAGTTTGATGAATTTTATATATAAAGTAAGCTCAGCTGTATAGGCCAAGGAAGTACTTTTAAAAACTATGCATGTATATTAAAGTCTGTCTTCTTTTTTTTTTTGGGGGGGGGGTCGAAACAGGGTTTCTCTGTGTAGCCCTGGCTGTCCTGGAACTCACTCTGTAGACCAGGCTGGCCTCGAACTCAGAAATCTGCCTGTCTCTGCCTCCCAAGTGCTGGGATTAAAGACGTGTGCCACCACTGCCAGGCACAAAATGCAAATCTTAAATGTTCATGTCTTTTGGGTTGCTCAGAGTGTGGCTGACCTCACTTTCAAAAATTGTATGTTATACAATAGAATTAGTTACTTGGGAAAATAGTCACTCATCACACACATAAAGCATAGGTACCACATGCTAGACATATGCTTAGCCCTAGAAGAGCTGGAGCCTGACACATGAGCAGATCTAAGAAGTGGGAATGTAATTCAGTTGATAGGGTGCATGCCTAACAAGCAAGCAACCCTGGGTTCCATCCCCAGTACCACATAAACAAGGGATGGTGGCCTTACACACACCTGTAATCCCAGCACTAGGAAGATGGAGGCAGGAGAATGAGGAGTTAAACGTCATCCCTGGCTACATAGTGAGTCTGAGAGCCAACCTAGGATACATGACAGACAGACAGACAGACAGACAGACAACACAAATAATGGCAGTGTAGCCAGGTAACACCTCCAGGGAAAGTTGGACATAATTGATATGAACCTGCAAGCTAAAGAGCTGGACATGTGCCTAGGAAAGATCTATAATACTTCTTGAAGACTTGACCTTGACAGCAGTCACTTGGTTTGCTAGGCAAGAAGACTGAGCATCTGCTTGAGCGCCGTGTGCTGGAGGTTGAAGTGGGTACCTGTGCATGTGTCGGAGTACTCTTCCTGCAACCTCTGACAGGATCTACTCCTCTATTCTAGATATTGATGAATGCGCTTCTAGCAAAGCAGTCTGCCCTTCCAACCGAAGATGCGTGAACACATTTGGAAGCTACTACTGCAAATGTCACATTGGTTTTGAACTGAAATATATCAGTCGACGATATGATTGTGTAGGTAAGATCCAGTGGCTTTTCCCCCCTTTCCCCCAAGCCTGAAGGCTTTCTCTACAGGCATTGTTTTATATTCATTCAATCTACTATACTGACCAACTAGACAACACATACACATGCACAAAGAAAAACAAAAAAAGCCCACTGATATTAAGTTTCTGGCATTAGGTAACTCCAGTGAGAATAATTATGAAGCCAGGTCTATAGTGATGGAAACAAATTAATATAAGACTATCATGGAGACAAATATCTTGAGATTTCTGTAAGGGTTTTTTAATGTGATAAGTTTTTATTTAGTTTATATGTCTGGTTCTATCTCCAACTACACACCTATGAATGGAAGTAGTAAAGAAGTATTTATATTTACTACAAGATTACTAAAATCTCAGTGGTTGGTCTGTTCCTAATATCTTTCATTGGATTGGCTTTACAAAAATGTATGAAGGAGGCTGGAGAGGTGGCTCAGTACTTAACAATCACAATAACCTGAATTTGGATCCAAGCATCCAAGTAATAAGCAAAGTATCCCAGAATACACCTGAACCCCCAGCTCTAGAGAGGAGGAACAGGAAGATCTGGGGGTCTGCTGGCTTCCAGTATACCTAAAAACACACGAGCCCCCAGGAGAGACTTTGCTTCAAAATGAATAGGCAGAGAGTCATAGAAGAGGATATTCTTCTTGCCTCTGCTGTAGACATACGCACACACATCTGTGCACATGTACATGCAAATGCACGCACACGCATACACACATATCAATTTTTTTAAAGGAAAATTATTTTTTTTTGTTTGGTTTTTCAAGACAGGGTTTCTCTGTGTAGCCCTGGCTGTCCTGGAACTCACTCTGTAGACCAGGCTAGCCTCAAACTCTCAAACTCAGAAATCTGCCTGCCTCTGCCTCCCAAGTGCTGGGATTAGAGGCGTGCGCCACCACCGCCCGGCTAAGGAAAATTATATGAAGGGGCACATGTTCTTTCCTCTTTCTTCTTTTAGTCCTTTTGTAGCTGAAGCATCATATAACATGACTCTGTGCTAATACTGTCATTAGGCAGCTATTAGTCTCATCTTGAAACATTTTCATCCCCTGAAGGGATTCCAGGCCTCGAAGAGCTTGTCAGGTCAGATGTACATACCCATTGCCTTTCATATACTGTCTTACAGTGAAGAGAAATTTGTGCTGCATGTAGCTCTCAATTCATTCACACATGGCATGGAAAATTAACTGTTGGAGAAAATATCACTGTTTCAATCCTGTACATAGGGCTTCTTAGGACATGACTTGTATCATCATGTTAAGACAACACCCCATTGCTGGTGTTTGAACCATCTTGGGAGACCTCCACAGCTATTCCCTTGAATCTTCTTAGATATGAAGACTACCCTAAGCAGGCACATAAAATTCATGTTCCGCATAAGCTTAGAGCCCACCCTGTCCTGTCAATCCAGCCAGCTGTGCAATCAAATGACAGTGATGCAACGCTGCCCAGATCCCTGACACTATAAGGACGTTCCCCTCCACAACACATTGGCAATGCACACAGCTTCCCAAGAAAGCAAATCGTTGATGTGCTAACAGCGGTTAATATTAGCATCAGAGCGGTTTTGTGACTTGAGTTCAAAACAATGCACTGGTTTGTGTACTTACATCTAGAAAAGCATAGACAGGACATAGGGTGGAGAATAGAGCACTTGAAGCTCCCACCTGAGTGGAATCTGGCCAATTTTCCACCTCTAAATCCAGCAGACGAGCTCAAACCAGTCTGACCCTTTCCCCTGACAGGTTCTGAACAAAATGTCCATCACGCCTATGAATTCAGACAATGGCAGCAGTTCCTGGCTGATTCTGTCTTTTGTTTGTGAGGAATTTCAAGCCAAAATTAGAATTTATTTTCTAATATTGTTCCTTAGTTTCAGATTACATGGATGAAAATCAAACCAATCTGAAATTTAGCATTTATTTTCTGATATTGTTATTTAGTTCCAGATTATGTGGATGAAAGGCAAAAAGGAGAAACTCCAAACATCGTAGCTGATATCAATCACATTAATAATGAGCAAACAGTGAAGTTTCTCTGGGGGAGGTGAGTTGTAGGCACCCTCCCTACATACCAGGCAGGCGCCAGGCAAAGCCAGGGCTCTCGGCCAAAGGGCCTCAGGTTTTGAACACCTCTCCGCTCTCAGGCAGCACTTAGTTCACTAAAGAGTTGCTCAGGTGAAAAGGCTACTCCTTCAGCAAGCTCTTTTATCATGAAGTTGTTCACTGGAATGTTCCCCCTTTTCAGATATAAATGAGTGTGCTCTGAATACACATACGTGCAGCCCCCATGCCAATTGCCTCAATACCCAAGGATCCTTCAAGTGCAAATGCAAGCAGGGATTTAGGGGCAATGGACTGCAGTGTTCTGGTAAGTAGCATTTGGTCAAGACAGTTTTGCTATCTGCCTCCCACAAAGCACTCCTTCCAGATAGCATCCGTGTGTGTGTGTGTGTGTGCGCGTGTGTGTATGTGCGTGTTTATGCGCGCATGTCTGTGCAAACCTCAGCCTTGTATTTTTTTCCTCGATGTGCTGTATTTCTGATACTCATAAAAGTCATAGGCAGGCACAAAACTGAAAGATCAAAGGCTAGAATGTAATTCAGTTAGTAGAGTGCCTAACATATTCAAAGCCTGGTCCCCAGTAGCAAATAAACTAGGTATGGTAATCCCAGTACTTGTAAGAGATGGGAGAAGGACCCTCAAACATTCAAGGTCATCCTCCAATACATAGTGACTTTGAGCCCAGCCTGTGACATATGAGACCCTGTCTCAAAATAAACAAGCAGAAAACCTAGGGTGGGAGGACAAACAAGGGCATCTTTTTTATTTTTCTGGTCACAACACTTTCATCAGGACTTTTTCCAGAACAGCAACAAAGCAAAGCAGGATATGTTAGACATCACTTCTTGTCATCCTAAAGCCCACATTCTCTCTCTGTGTCTGTGTCTATCTCTGTCTCTCTGTCCCTCCCTTACCCACCCTCCCTCCTCCTCGTCCTCCTCCTCGTCCTCATCCTCATCCTCCTCCTCCTCCTCCTCCTCCCCCTCCTCCCCCCCTCCCTCCCTCCCTCTCCATCCTTTCCTCCCTCCCTCCCTCCCTCTTTCCCTCCCTCCCCCCCCCCTGTGTATATATTGGACTTTTTTTTTTTGGTTTTTCAAGACAGGGTTTCTCTGTGTAGCCCTGGCTGTCCTGGAACTCACTCTGTAGACCAGGCTGGCCTCGAACTCAGAAATCCACCTGCCTCTGCCTCCCAAGTGCTGGTATTAAAGGCGTGCGCCACCAACGCCCGGCCTGTATTGGACTTCTTAATCTTTAATGATAATAATTTAAAATGTAAATGTGTAAGGCAGACATACAGCTAGAAAATCTACTGCTGTTAACTTAGAACAACAGGAAAAGTGATTTTCCATGAGTCCTATGTCTAAGGTAATGATTTTTTTAACTTGGGGAAGGACTCAAGCTGACAGAGGCTTTTCATACTTGGTTATTAATCCAAGCCCTTGGGATTTTTCACACCCTGGAAAGAAACATGGACAATTAGATAGCAGCTCTTACTACTTCAGTTTGGGAGTGGCAGATTTCAAGGACCAAAATAATAACAATGGCGGTAGTGGTAGTAATGGTGGTGGTGTTTGGTGGTGGTATAAATGAACACTGGAAAACCAAGTCAAGTTGTCTATGCTTACAGTGCAGGCCATCCTCTGGTAAACAGTCCTACAGTGTTTAAAATCAAGCAGTCAACATCGTGAACCGTACCTGTGCTCCCAACACTTAGAGTTAGGAGGATGAGGACTTCAAGGTCATCTTTGGCTACATAGTGAGTTCAGCCTGGGCTACATGAGACACTGTCTCTTGTCTCAAAAGACCAAGAATAGTAGTAATAATGACGATGAACGCTAGGTTAATCCTTCTTTTAACCCTGACTCATTGTGACTAGACTTGTCTTTGTTGTGTTCTGTTCTGTTTTTGGTTGGTTGGTTGGTTTTGATATTATTATTATTATTATTATTATTATTATTATTACTTTGTTTGGGGGGAATGTTGTGAGTATGCATGTTTGTGAGCATGCATACCACAGTGTGCATGTGGAGGTCAGAGAAAACTTTTTGGAGTCAGTCACCAGGGTGATGTAGCAAGCACTTCTAATGAGCTGAGCAATCACCTGGCCGTTTGTTTGTTGTTTGGCTGGTTGGTGATGTTTGTTTGAAGCAACATCATGCAATGTAGTCCTGGCTTCCTGATACTCACTCTGTAGCTCAGGATAGCCTTGATCTGACTATTATCCTATCTCAGCTTTCTGAATGCTGGGATTACAGTGATGTGCTGTCCTACCAGCTCTAGAATTGCTCACTGCCCTGTCTCAAGTAATCTCTATGCCCTTCAGCATAAGTCTCATAAGTATGACTGTAAATCATAGGCTGACTTGCCTCATATCCTATGACCCCATCCAGTCAAGTGTCCTGACGACACACAGACTATCTCCTAGCTTTTACAAAACTAAACACTATGCACCACCACAGACATTCAACAGCAGACACATAAAAGGTTCACAGAATCCAAGTAGGCTGTGGCTGAGTCTAGAAATCAGATTCCATAAAGAACTGACAAAGGGCCAGGCAGTGGTGGTGCACGCCTTTAATCCCAGCACTTGGGAGACAGAGGCAGGCGGATTTCTGAGTTCTAGGCCAGCCTGGTCTACAGAGTGAGTTCCAGGACAGCCAGGACTACACAGAGAAACTCTATCTTGAAAAAACAATATATATATGAGAATGATGGATAGCAGTTGAAGAAAGCACCTGATATTGCCCTCTAGCCTCCACGTGTACCCACACCTATACCCACACACACATAATAACATGGATACACACATTCATAGATGCTTCATGCACACACTCATGAAAAACAAACAAACAAACAAACAAAAAAGAATTGGATCCCAAACAGGGCTCATGATAGTCCTGTGGTTGGCACTTATAATAGATCAGTTCAAAGTGCCTAAAAGTCCCCCAATTGCAAGAAGGCAAAATGGAGCATGCCATGCAAATTCCTAGATCCTAGCTAGATACAGATACAGGGCAGTAGACTCCCCATGCCCTGTGACCTTAGGGTATTATGTACAATGCTGCCCAGACCCTGCAGGTGCAGCTAGAGATGGGAAATTAGTACCTCTAGTAAACACCCTCAGCCAAGGAGGTCTTGGAGTCTATAAATAAATACCTTTCCTTCCCCTTCATAGTGTGGGGCAATCCTGAACAGTAATGCTTCACAGATTTCTCCAGTCAGACTGAGTTTGTTGTCCAAAGTAATGACCTGCCCAATGTGACACCATCTTTTGTCTCCTCTCACTTTTTTTTGACTCATTGTCCCCCTCCCCCACATTCTAACTTCTGGAATCCTGCCCCAAATCCTTCTTTGGGGATTTGCCCAAGATAACTCAGACTAAGACAGACACATCTCTGAGTAGCATGTCATGGTGTTGAAATGAAGTGACATAAGTCGAAAACTTCAGTCAGTTGGTCACACAATAGATACCCTGTAAAGTTTGCTGTAGTTAGTATTGTTCTAAATGTCATCTCAACCCTCTGTTGAGGGCCAGAAACTGTACTGTGGAATACTATAAACATAAATTTAAAATGTTGTGCGTGAAAAGTAGAAGCCCCCCCCAAAAAAATATGTATTTCTTTAAAAAGGCAACTCACCTCTACATGACTACACTCCTAGCCTCCAGGGCTAAGAATTGAAGAAACTAGAAAGAATAACTGCCTAGAGCAGCCATGGATGTAGCTCAGTTGGTAGAGTACTTCCCTAGCATGCATAAGGTCCTGGGTTCTAAGGACTAGGGAAACAAGAAGAATTTTAAAGAGAATGCTTAATTGGAGTAAAAACATTGTTTGCAGCCCATTTTCTGTATTGTATCCCCGTGTTTTAAAATTATAAATCTCACATCAAAACAAACATTTCTTGTGCCAAAGAAACTTCTATGGTTTTGTTGTTATTGTTGTTGTTTTGTCTTGTCTTTTTGGTTTTCTGTTTGCTTGTTTGCTTGTTTTTGCATCTAGGAGCACAGCTTCTAGAATAAGATTACCTTAACTTGACCCCTAGCTCCTTGGCTAAGTACTTGTGGACTGGGAACAAGTATTGAGTTTCCAATGCCTCAGTCTCATGGTATTTTTGAGGGTTTTTTTTTATTTTACTTTGTGGTTTTGGGGGCAGGATCTCATGGATCCCCAGTTGGCCTTGAACTTCCTGTGTAGCTGAGAATCACATTGAACTTCTGAACCTCTTGCTTCTTGCTTCCTGATTGCTTAGATTACAGGCATTGCCACAATTTACTCAGTGCTGGGGATCAAACACAAGGCTCTGTGCATCCTAGGCAAGCACACTACCAAGTGAGCTACACTCCCCGCCCTGGTTTTATTTATTTTTTTTTATTTTTATTTTTATTTTTATTTTTTTGGTTTTTTTGAGACAGGGTTTCTCTGTGTAGCCCGGGCTGTCCTGGAACTCACTCTGTAGACCAGGCTGGCCTTGAACTCAGAAATCCGCCTGCCTCTGCCTCCCAAGTGCTGGGATTAAAGGTGTGCACCACCACCGCCCGGCCCCCACCCTGGTTTTAAAGATTAGTATTTTTAATTTTTAATTTTTTTTTTTTTGGTTTTTTCGAGACAGGGTTTCTCTGTGTAGCCCTGGCTGTCCTGGAACTCACTCTGTAGACTGGGCTGGCCTCAAACTCAGAAATCCACCTGCCTCTGCCTCCCAAGTGCTGGGATTAAAGGCGTGCACCACCACTGCCTGGTAGTATTTTTAATTTTTAAATTTATATTTCTTGCTCGTATGTACATGATGTGTTGTGGGCTGTGTTCCTGCCCTGGTGCAAGTGTGGCAGTCAGAGAACACTTCGTGGAGTCAGCTCTCTCCATTTGTACTTTTGTGGGTTCTGGGGATCAAAGTCAGGTTGCCAAGCTTGTGAGGTAAGAGCCTTTATCCACTGAGTCACCTTGCTGGCCCTAATATGTTTATTTTTAAATCATTTATGGGCCCAAGAGCCAACTCAACGGATAAAGTGCTTGCCATACTTTAGACAAAGCAGACAAAGCATAAGGACCCGAGTCTGAATCCCTGGAACTCTCACTAATGCTGGAAATGGTAGCACATATCAGTACTATGGTCAGATAGGAAATGAGGACCAGAGAATCCCCAGAAACTCTCAGGCCAGCTAGCTTTGCAAATGCAGTGGCCAACAGGAGACTCTGTCTCAAACAGGGTAGAAGGAAAGGGCCAATGCCTGAGATTCTACTCGTGCCAACACTCACCCGTGAACAGGCACACATACACACCACACCACACCACACACACACACACACACACAGAGAGAGAGAGAGAGAGAGAGAGAGAGAGAGAGAGAGAGAGAGAGAGATGTTTTTAAAAACCAAAACATTTAAAAACAGTAATAACTTATTTTTTTAACATCAGTTCGATTTCCTCGTAGAACAGCAATATAGCTGAATCATAACTCTCAAAGAATTTGAGTCAGTCTAGAGAAAAGCAACTGGTAACCTTAAAGCAGGAATAAATCCATCACAAAAATGGTAGAAAATAGAAGGTATTCCTGGGTGTGGCTTTCAAGTCCTGACTCTGCTGCTAGCTAGCTAAGTGACCTTAAGCAGATTCTTTTACACTAGCTTTTCCCTACTACCAAAATCTAACTCTGGCTTTCCCTTGGCTCTCTGGTCCTTATGATCTCCATTGAAAGTATTCAGGTAAGACACACAGAGTGTAGTACAGAAGACAGCAGGTGTTTCTCTCAGAATAACAGGAAGAACTAGTGGGGACTTAACTGGGGCAGTGACTCAAAGGATAGTGGAAGAGGAAAATGCTCTCACAGGGTCAGAGTGGATAATGTACAATGGGACCAACTAGGTTGGCCAGTACATCAAGGTAAGGAATGTGATTTATACAAAAGTCTCTGGGACAGTAAGAAAATGCCATAGTGAAAAATCCATTATTATGTATGTTCACTTAAAAAGGAATAAGCAAGTTTCTGGAACAGACTGCTTCTCTGAGGTGTGTTTTCCTCCCCAGCTGACTGAGAGGCCTGTTTTGAATTAACTTTTTTTTCTTTTTGACATAAACTTTCTCTGTATCCCTGGCTATCCTAGAACTCTATAGATGAGACTAGCTTCAAACTCAGTGAACTGTCCGCCTCTGCCTCCCAGCATGCTCAGACTGAAGGCACTCAGACTATAGGCGCCAGCACTGCCGGCTGAATTAACTCTTGAAAAGGGACCAGAATGTTTATCTTTGTTCTTTATCAGAAAGCCTCCTGGTAGGTGAGAAGCCTGGAATCTTTCTGACGATTTAGCAAGCCGTGGTTCCACCCAGAACCAGTCAGACCCCATTCTTGTAGCCAAAAATCACGTAACAGAGTAGATCCAAAAGAATTAAAGAAACAAAAAATAAAGAAAGATATAAAAGACACACACAAAAATAAAAAAGCTGTGCTTTACTGGGGGAGGGGGGTGAATAAGATAGGCTTCTGTGGATGGGCCTTGAAAACCCTGCTATGTCCGCCTTCCTTCCTTTTATATGCTATTTTAAATCTGAACAACGGGAGTGACTTTAATATTCTCTCTTTTCACATGATGTTCCAAATTTCAAACACAGGCAGTTCTGATACTCCCCCCTTCTTTTTATCCATTGCTGTTCTTCACTTGCAACAATATGTGGCCAGGGACACAGGAAGTAGAGCCAGAAGTGGCCCAGCTGTGAAGAGTATCCGGCCTGCCTGATAATTTTTAAATTTATTTTCTTTCTTCTTTAACAATTTCATACACGTATCTAATTATTTTGGTCATTTTGACATACACATACCATTAGCTTCTCATCCCACTCCCGCTGGATCTTTTTCTAAAGTCTTCCTGTTAGTTTCATGTCTTTGTGGTTGTGATTCTGTGTTTTTCTTTGGGGCAGGGAGGACAGTAACCTACTGAGTTTAATTAATTCGAGTTGTTTACATGATCGTGAGATGGGGGAAGGTTATCTATTGAATCTGGGCAGTTTACTAATATCTACACTAAGATCTATACTAATATCTAATATTGACGAGAGAGTCTCCCCCTCCACCAGTAACCATCAAGTGCCAATAGCTCCTCCAAGAAAGTGGGGCCTCATAAGCCTTTCTCCATCCATAATGGAATGTTGATAGACTCCATCTTGTGCAGGTTACCATAACTACTGTCAGTTCTTACGTGCAATGCTCAGGTCACATCCAGAGGACAGTGCTCCCCAGCACAGTTCCTCATCCTCTGGCACTCATATTTTTCCACTATGTCTTCAATGACATTCCGTGAGACTTGAAGGGGGTGTTCTAGAGGTCTTCCTTGGGGCTGATTCTGGAAGCATTGACTTCCTGCACTTGAACACTTCCAAAATGGTCTATTGTTCATAAATGACCTCAACTAAAGGGGAATTCTCCTGTATGACTTTTTGGCTCAGTGATCCCTGAACACTCTGTGAAGGAAATACTCACAGCACCTGGGACCATCAAAGACAGAATCAAGAAGTTACTGGCTCACAAGCGCACCATGAAGAAAAAGGTGAAGCTTAAAACCATCACCCCAAGACCCACCAGTACACGCACCCCTAAGGTCAACTTGCCTTACAGCTCTGAGGAGGGCGTTTCCAGGGGCAGAAACTCTGATGGAGAACAAAAAAGAGAGGAAGAGAGAAAGAGCGAGAGGCTTGGAGAAGAGAAAGGAGAGAAAACCCTGAAGAATGATGTGGAACAGGAGCGAACCCTCCGAGGGGACGTGTTCTGTAAGTATTATTTTTGTTGTTCTTGCATTTTATAAAAAGTGAATGTGATTCCTCATGGCACATCAACAAACAAGACTAGACAGTTCCTACCTTAAGGAAGATGACTTAGGGGCTGGAGAGATGGCTCAGTGGTTAAGAGCGCTGACTGCTCTTCCAGAGGTCCTGCGTTCAGTTCCCAGCATCCACATGGTGGTTTACAACCATCTGCAATGGGATCCGATGCTCTCTTCTGGTGTGTGTAAAGATAGTGACAATGTATTCACATATACAAAATAAATAAATCTTTAAAAGGAAGGAAGGGAGGGAGGGAGGGAGGAAGGAAGGAAGAAAGCTTAGCTCCTTTTCTGTATACCATAAGTCTGAAACGTACAGACTTTTTCATAAGGAAAAATAAACATTTTAATACAACCACTTTTTAAATCACAAATAAAAATATTACACAGTGAATTTAAGGATGACATTAAGAGTTGTGCAGTCCCTAACTCTATACACCTCAGAGAGCTTCTCTACAGTTATCACGGCCATTCTGAAGCTGTGGAGCTGCCCTCTGGCCTTCATGTTTTCATTACCCATTATATTTTTATGAACTTATCCACCAGAGAGAGAGAGAGAGAGAGAGAGAGAGAGAGAGAGAGAGAGAGAGAGA